CCGAGAGAAAAAAGTAAGAAAGTTTTTTGCACGGGTATATCGACACCGACGAACGACGATTCGAAAGATGCGTGACAGAATGTTCTCATCGAATCGCGTGTTCGCGTCGGAGGTTCGAATGCAGAAGGTGTCGAGGTGCGACCTGTACTCAAGGCCTAACCGGTCTTCGGGGCCCCTTGGCGATGCCCAGTCGGAGCCACGAGGCGGGGGATCTGGTTTTGAATTTTTTCCTTCTCAATATAGATCGTGACCGAGCACGTCTTATTCATTCGCGTCCTGTAATTATACACGCTATACGATTCTCACTTTTATTCTCACAGTTCATCGTCTAATCAAATCACTTAAGTTCTACAACGATGCTTCTCGATACTATGATAAATATCACTCGCAAAACGTTTAAAAATCTATACTTTAAAACCACAAGACAAAACATCATTGGGTTTCTGCGGTGCGAAGATCGTGAAATCCGGGATCTGGGAGAACGCAGAATACGCTTTAATAAAGTAGCCACCGTGAAAGTTCAATCCGCAAACTATTCTCGAAATTGATCTATATAATCGAGAAGAAACATTAAATCGCATTAAATCGAAGCGAAACGACGAATCAAGATATTTAAATGCATTGCTAATTTTGTTTCATCTGACCGATTCGAAATTCACGAAGAAAAATCAATGGCAACCGCGTAGAGAAGGATTCGAAGATTTGCAAACGAAATAACCGGTTTTCACTTGACCGAGAAGAAGGACGCAGCAAAAAGGCCGAGAAACTGAAATTGAATCGTGAACGATACCTGTGCGCTTCCGGTGAATTTGGCAAGCTGCGAGCTTTCCTGTTGGCCCCACCACTACTTCCGCTGTTTCCCATTTTGCACCAATTTTGAGGTTAGCCACTCCGTGCGATCCGAAATAGTATCACTTCTCGCGTGCACTGACACTTCTGACGGTCAAAAGTGTCTCGATGAATCAACCGGTAGACGCGTTCGCGTTAGTAAATAAACAAATAAATGAAACAGCCTTCGGCAACGTTTCAACCTGTGTCAGAAAACGAATATTCGTTCCTGTTGTTCTTCGTCAAATTCTCTGTCGCGTGTCTTGATTGATAGACACGGTAAAAAACGTAATTTGAACCACGGTTGTGATTCATTCGCTTCGTTGTTTCATATTGCTCGCGATGATACATTTATAGTTTTGATCTTTTGATATGTTTTATTATATATTGAAATACGCGATTAATTTAAACATGAGAAAATTCCGTTATACTGTTATAAAATGTACAAACCGACGATGATATGATTCGTTTCCTATGTATCGTATTGCAAATCCATTCGTTACATTTTCACGTTACACCTCCATTTCCTGTAATTAGAAGCGTTCGTGCGAATCGATCATCACCATGCACTCGATCGCTTATAAACGATTCTTGTGATTTTATTTGCATTTGTATCCTATAATTACTTTCATTCGTAAAATCTTCACGTTCTAACGAATCACATCATAGGTTATAAATTTACTATACTCGAACTTGTACGATAACCGGTATAGCATCTTCACTGATCTACAGAAACGGATATTTTTATCTTTCGATTCGAAGCATTTATAAAACGAATATTGAAAATTTCATCAACGATCAAAGAATAATCCAGAAAGTATCATTGAGTGAGTGCAACCATATATTCTATTGAAACTTTGTCAAAAGGCGATATCATTTCTTCTCGATTATCCGTTACCAATCGATCATCGAATCGTTGATTTTGTCGTTTCGATCCAACCACGAGAATTGCGAGTGAATCTTGGCGCATAATAACGCAAGATTCTCGAAACGGATCGATTTTTGGATCGTTTTCGAAGAAAGCATATTTTCGATCTTTGTCTTTAGGAACCAGTTCTCGATTCGTATATTTCACGAACAAAAACAGGAATTGTAAATAGTAGTTGTCGAGAGCGAAGCCTTTCTCACTACACTACACATCCACCGAGGAAACGATGCCTTATGGCGAGCTGTTCCACGGTCATACTATGGCCATGGTGTGTAGGCATCGTTGATGGCCCGTTTCAAACTGAGGCCCGCCGAGAGAGAACCATTCCTGTTCCCATAGCACGTGGCTTCTCTCTTTTGCTCTCTCCCTCCCTCGCTCTTGCCCCCACTATTCACTCGTACAATCCCCATCACTCCTTCTCTTTCTCTCTTACTCTTCCCGATTCTCTTTCTCACTCCTTATTACCTCACACACGCATACGCTCTTTCCTTTTTTCTCTTTCGAATCCTCATGTAGGTACGATATACCTTCCCTTTAACATAGTCTCTGCTATACGTTTCATCTCGCAATATTCCTATCTATCCGTGTTTCCTTCGTTCTCGCACCGCATTTTGCTACCCGCGCCCTCTGTTTCTCTACCGTCCCTTTCTCTCTCTCATCTTTCCACCATCTCTGTTCTTCTCGATATTAAACCCCAGATTCATCCCTTCTCGTCTGTTCGTGTTCACCCCCATAAAGTCCTGTTCGTTCTTTGCCCTCGAATCTCCCAATCCCGTTTACTCTCTTCGTTCTTCTCTTTTCGTCGTTTATCTATCTTTCTCCTTCTCCCTCTCCCTTCCCATCTCCCGTACGTTAGTACCTACTACCTCCGTGAATTTCCCCACCGCACGAACCGACCAATCATATCGTTGGCCTTCCATAAGAGCCAGCCAATCTCTGACGAGCATTTTCTATTGTGGATTTTTAAATCATTTTTATGCGTGCATACCTTCAGCACGTGCACGTACGAAGTATTGTACCGAGACGCAACAATACGTTGTGTGTGCGCCCGTATGAGTCTCATACGAAAAGAGTTTGGTGTGTATCTTCTACTCGTACATAACCGTGTGTACAAATCGTGTAAACGACAACTTTCTACAGAGTGGTTTGAAAAATCTATTTAATTGGCAATTCAAACGTTATATACGATTTAATGGATTCATGGAAGTTATTAATGGTAATTTAATATATCTCTCGTGGAACAATTGAATACTGTTTACATATATCGTACGAAGCTGGTAAATTTTATACGATTCGATTAATTGATACAAATATATTTGAAAAGTTTGTTGAATTATCGTCTATGTTTAAGATATTTTAATTATTTAATTTTTATCTATTATGAAATTTTTTAACTACACATACAAAATTTTTCATATACAAAGTTATTCATATTCTTCATGGTGGTATGCATGACATGTTTTTCGATTTATTACAGTGCGTGAAATTGACATACGAGATGAAGGTTAAAAGTCAATAAACTAGAATGCACGCGTATAAAGCTTCTCGAATGATTGATATTATCTTTTTAACTTGTTTGTTCGTACGAGTTTAAAATGCATATAAATAAACTACATGTTATCATGTTTCATAAACCTTTTACTAAACATATATAATAAGAAAATGATATCGTGTTTTTGTCTTTTTTTTTTTTTAGAAAAACTACATATATATATGTATCACGTATCAAATCCGTGATTAGAAAAGATATAATTCTTATTTAAAAACCAATGTTGATGATACATATGTTAGAAAATATTGAAGAGTATTTTGAGGTTACCCGTTATATTCTCGTTATACAGACCAGAGCTATAATACACCCACATTGCCTGAATTGTGTTGAAGAGGGAGTTTCGATGTATACGTGCGGTTATATTGTGTGGCGAACGTAACGCAACGACTACGGTCTACACTCAGTCGTGGACATAATGGAGCATTGTTAATATGTTAATGCCGAGCGTTCCTAAAGGTTCCGACGGTTTATGTTTCTCCGTTCCACCGAAGAATCGTTACACGGTCCATTAGACGACGAACCTTGAATTCCACTCGTCACGAATTTCCCTATGGGATCCTTTTTCTATTTCACTCGTATCGTTATAATTTTTTTATTAATTCGTTTTAAAAAAAGCTCGTTACGTTAGCTTTTGCGAATAGAGGGAGAAAAACGAAAAATTCTTTCTCATTAAAACTGTTCCTGATTAATTTATTAAATTGTCGTTTTAATTCGTTCGCGTAATAATTCTGAAAAATATTGTCGTGTATAAGTAAGTAGACGTATATAACGAAGATTAATATCGTCTCGTTCGTTTTGCAAAAAGCACGACTTCCACGAAACTCTCTCGCGTAGGATTGCGTGTAGGTTTAAAAATAACGACCTTGACAGTCGCGGCTTACGGGAAATGCGGATTAAGAAAAACGCCAAGTCAGTGGGACTCCTTAGTGTTCACGGGACACGAGAGTAATTAATCACGGAGTAATTAAAATATATTTGAAGTTTCAGCACGCGGTTACCTTCCTATACGGAAATACGGTAATTCACTTATATAGCGCAATTCAGTCGTTTAGTTGTGTGAACTCGTATAGACCATAATTAACACGAACGTTAATGAGCACGTCGTCGGATCGTTCATCCGACGAAACGTCGATTCGAACGTACAAAGAATAAAAATACAATTAGATTTAAGTAAATAAAAATTTTGTGATAACAACTTCTAATAATTTAGTTGAAACTCTTAAGAAGAATTTTAATCATTATGATGCACGATCGATAAATTCGGAAATAAAAATGATGACAAATGTTCATTCGATAATGTTGCTCTTTATTGAATAAACATTAAACGATATCGTAACATGAGATTTTTTTCTTCAATGCAAATATTTTCTTTTCTTATACAATATTTATGCAAAACGAATATCCGAATACTAAAATTATTATTATTAATTATTATTATTAATACTAAAATTATATTTGCAATTTTTACTCAAATTTTTCCAAATTAAATGTTTTTTATCTTTAAAAAAAAATGAAGCGCTGTTTTCTTTTAATTTAATAATGCAATTTGTAATAAAATTTATCCTCTATCGATACAATATAAAAGTTATCCGCTGTTGATACAGACAATCTAACTTACCGACGGCAGATTCGACAGCTGGAGCTTTTTGTATTATCAATCGTCGATAAGAAGAAACCTGTATTCGAACTTACCTAGGCATGTCTTGAAGTTGTTTGGCTCTCTGTTTGTATCGTGAGAGGGCGAAAAGAAGGGCGAGGACCGGCCAGAGGGTTGATCCTGCAGCCAATTCGCTAGGATTCACGGAGCCCACGTCCGCCCCAAGAGCTCGGAGCGCTCCTACGCACAGGCTCACGTTCTCGACCTGCGCAACACACGTAAAACCTCGTCATCGATCACGGTATGAACCGATGTATACGCGTTGTATACGTACTAAGGGGAATCGATCGAAAATTTTCTTTTTTTCTACTTTCGACCGATCTCCCCAAGTATACGTGCCTAACGAGTCGATGACTCGAATTAAAAACGCGTTGCATGACGCGCGCTTTCAAATTAACCTTCACATCTCCGTATATCTAATATTAATTTCGACGCGTAACGAAAATGATGATGAATATCGAACTCAAAAGTAGAATTCAAAAGTAGAATTCAAAAGTTCTTTGATGAAATCGAAACCTATTTATCCCTTTCATTTCGTCTCTAATTGGATTTACAATCATAAGAAAAAAAAGAAAGATTTATTATCGACGTGACAAGTCACGATACAAAGGCATATCTACAATACAAATCAAACGAAAATAGAGGTCTCTGGTGGTCACGGTTGCCTGTACTCGTTGGAATTATCCAAGACACGATGGACATATCGAGGTGACTGGTGCATATCGGCATACATAGTTTCGAGGGTAAAGCAACGCGAGGAAGGTACGGGAGCGTAGTGTAGGTGTACACAAAGGACGCGGCCATACGGTGTACATATACGACACAACATTCTGCGAAACGTGACCGCCGTGACCATGGCTACCTTGTGCTAGCACGCGTGCCGGCCTGCCTCTTTTGTTTCCATTGTTCTTAAGAGCCACGGCGGCTCCGGCTTTTACCCAGAAAACAAACCGTGCTGTACTGCACACGCTGCACACGGGGTGGTGGTGAGAGGTATACGGTAGAGAGAGATGACTCATCCGACAATACCCTGGGTGCCCACGCGTAGGTAACAACTAGATTGCCTCTGTGTTCGTTCGTTCCAGCTATATGCAACTCGGGATGGGGGTGCCAGTGGACGGCCAAAGAAGAAATGGATTGGAGAAAAACCGTGAAAAACGTTGCATCGACACGCGATATTATTCCACCCCACTTCTTTTATTACGAGTAACTTTTCACATCTATGATTTGCAAGTAAATAAAGAAATTCTGACAAACTTTTATTCTGACGAATATTTAGTACGAAATTGAGAAAGATACGATATATATATATATAGTACATATTATGGTTGAAAGCGATGATTACGATTCATTGATCGTAACGTTAACGTTAGGCGGGATGCTGAGCAAGCATTTGAAACTCGTTTCGAAACAACGCGCGTTCCTGAAACTCTCTTATCACAGTCCATTAACGACCAAGCTTTCAAATGAAATCTCGGTGAGAATAAGACGCAATGCGATAAAAGGGGGGGAGAGAGGGAAACGATTGCGAGCTTTTGTCAAAGTTGACGCAAAACCTTTGTGAAAACGCGATACGAGTGCGGCACGGTGCAACGCTCTCGCGCAGCACTCACAGGTTATCCACACGAGATGACAGCCGTAAATGGCGATGGCGCTTTTTAACGCGCTCCTCTCTCCCTCCCTCTCTCCGCGCCGTCGACCAGGTTCCTCTCCAACGTGCACTTACGCGAAAAAGAAGATCTCGCTCTTAAGGGAGACATCGCGCTTCCTAATAAAGGGTCGAAGATCCATCCAACAGGTTGTTCTATTCTCGACAAACGTTCTTGTCGTATATTTCATCCGAATTCATCCGGTTCTCCGTATATACCTCTTATCCTTTTTTTTTTTATTTCACGTGTATTTATTCCGTCGATACAACGTTTATTCGATCATACTTCGACGTTGAATCTTACATGTGCGTGATTAAAATATTACACGTATTTTTATATATATATATATATCCCACGATATTATACGAGAATCAAATTGCGACATCGTTCAACGGTGAACGAGGTCGAGTGAAAATTCCCATCGAATCACGAGTAGTATCCAATTAACCGAATCGAGGATCGGTTAGATCCGATCAACAGATCGAAGAAGAGGGTACGTGTCCTGCCTCGAATCCTGCCAACGCGCCTTACATCGAATCAGGTTTGTAATTCAGAAACCGTGCCCGCGCGGCGGGCGGAGGGAGGAGAAACAGAGTCGGAGAGCCAAAGATGGCAAGAGATGCCTACTTATGGTAACGTCCTCGCCTCTCCGCCGCGCAATAAGGAAACGAAAAAAGAAGAAGCGTAAGAAGTAAGCGTCGCTCGAACCCTGTCTTTCTTCAACTTTCAATTTCATGCGTATCACCCGTGCGCACTCGATTCCTCCGATTCATGCGCACCCTTCTAACACAATTTCCTTTCCTTTTTCGCGATATATTTATTTTATTAAATTAATAATAATATTTTAATATATTTTATTTATTAAATTTTATTACGTTTATTTTAAAAAATTCGTTAATTAACATTTTCAATTTTCACAAAGAAATCCAATAATTAAATAATATAATAAAATTATTCAATATTTTAATTTTCAATTTATACGTTTTTATTTATTAAATTTTATTACGTTCATTTTAAAAAATTCGTTAAATTAACATCTTCAAAGATATCCAATATTTTTATTTTCAATTTATACGTACGTTTTTATTCATTTTAAAAAATTCGTTAATTAACATTTTCAAAGATATCCAATATTTTTATTTTCAATTTATACGTATGTTTTTATTTGTTAAATTTTATTACGTTCATTTTAAAAAATTCGTTAATCAACATCTTCAAAGATATAGAATATTTTTATCAATTCTCTTCTAATATAATTTATACACAATGCAATTTTATTGTTTAATAAGATCTCGTGTCGTGAAAATACCAATCATTTTCGTTTTCCTTCTCTCGTTCTGTATCTCAAGTATGGCTTTAACGGCACACCCTCGCGAGGTTGGTGCGTGCGTGTCGCGCAAGTATACGAGACAAAAGTCGAAGGAGTCGATTGCGCAAGAAACCGAGGAGGAAGATCTGATATCCGACGTGAACCGGTGTCGTCGGCACTGGCGCTTCAGAAATCGAATCTCGTAGAGAGACCATTTCATTTTTTCCCCCTTTCCTTTCCTCTCCTTCCCTTTCCTTTTTTCGTCGAGCGCGAGGACGCGAGTGGAATAGAGATGTCCTCGATAAATGGTGTCTCTCTCGCGCATGGAAAAATCAGACGTTACACACGGACGATGATCACGGTTAAAAAGTCGCACGGATAGATCACTTTCCACTTTCGATCGATACGTACAGCGTTCCCACGATCGCTCCCGCTCAACTAGGGCAATCCATGATTCCAAGAAAATTCCATTAAAATTATAACTGTTCACGAATTAGAAGGATTGATAGTTAAAGATAGTTAAAAAAACAATTTGATGGATAAATTCAAATTCAAACAAGTTCTGACAAGGGTATTTATTAATGTAAAAGATAAAATAATTGGTCATGCTTCTGTTTGTGACTATATGAATTTGGAAATTTTTAATTAGATTCAGAAAAATAAAGAATTAATAAAAGTGAGAGAATTACGTAATTTTGAATAATCGATATGTAAAGATTTCAAAAAAGTATGTTAAAAGTATATTTTGAATTAAAATGTTAATCGGTAAAAGAGTGATAAAATTACTAATAAAAATTCCTAAAAGTTTAAAAATTAAATTAACTGATAATAGAATTGATAAAGTTCATGGACGAACAATTAATCTAATTAATTCAATAATTACCATAAAATTTATTTAAAAAACTGATTTAAATTTAAAGGAACTAGAGGTCTTAAAAATTGTAAGAGAATTTTTATAAATTAAATGAATTAAAAATCTAAATCACAATACGAATTAATTATTTAACGATAAATGTTAATATAAAAACATAAGGAATTAAACTAAAATATATTTACGATTATGATATAAATTATTAATATAATAAAAATAATTAATCGTTAAATTCATTATATATATATATATAAAATTCAATAATAATTTAAAAATAAAATTCGCGATCGAATTGATCAAAATATTCTTGGTAAAATGGGAACAAAATTTTTCGCATTTCCTCAAATAATTAAACGATAACACATCCCATAACACGTGTCGTTTAAAATGAAAAGTGCAAAGGTCGGATTTATTTCGCACGGTCCGTGCACAGGCAACATTTTCAATTTGGTGTCCGGAGCAGAAAGAGAGAGATTTCAACAGATATTGAACAGGCGCCGACAAGGCGTTTAATGTCTTCGGCTGATCTCTCTTCTCGTGATATCGCCTAAAGGTACACGTCACTTTCGAGGTCTTTTCGGTTCCGGATCGGATCACTATTACTTGATTATTACCTATCTAGCCCGCTCCTAATTTTTTCCATCCTCTTTCCATCCTTCAAACTTATATATATATATATATATATTTTAGATTGTTGTAATTTCGTTTTTCACACGAGTTAATCGAACGTTTATCCAACCAACTTCATTCTAAACCGTGTTGTCCGGAAAATAATTTCGTTTTTTCACACAAGCGTCGCTAGTCGAACGTTTATCCAGCCAATTTCGTTCTAAACCGTGTTGTCCAGAAAGTAATTTCGTTTTTTCACACGAATGTCGCTAGTCGAACGTTTATCCAGCCAACTTCGTTCTAAACCGTGTTGTCCGGAAAGTAATTTCGTCTTTTCACACAAGTGTCGCTAGTCGAACGTTTATCCAGCCAACTTCGTTCTAAACCGTGTTGTCCGGAAAGTAATTTCGTTTTTTCACACGAGCGTCGTTATTAGAACGTTTATTCAGCCAACTTCGTTTCAAACCGTGTTGATATCGTATATTTTAAGAGTGATATTTTATAGTGTATTTATTAAGAAAAATTCGTTCGATTCTATTACGCTGTTACGTTTTTGTATGTGATAACAAAGTGCAAAACCAAAAGGAACATTTTCGGCATACTTTACTTTTTTATTATCGAAAAGGTAAGAATACTGTTCAGGCAAGAAAAAAGTTATGCGAAGTCTATGGAGAAGATGTATTAATAGTACGTTAGTGTCAAAATTGGTTTTCAAAATTTCGTTCCGATAATTTCGTTAAAGATGCGCCACGTTCTGGAAAATTAAT